GAGAAAAAATAAAATAAAAATAAAAAATAACACATAAATACTGACCGAAGGGGTTTAGGCTGAAGTCAAGACTTATTTTGCCTAACCCCTTTTACAACAACAACTTATCCTGACTATTACAATAACATGTAGACACTAAAAAATTAATCCTCAACAATCAAAATTATGTCATACTTCCACTATCGCTTACTTTTCTTATATTCTTCATTCAAGTGTTCTATATTTTTCCATAATGTTCAACTTATATCTTTTCTTAAATCCCTTAATAGTTTTAGAGCTCTTAAGTTGAATAAGAAGGCTGTTCCATAAATCTACTCCTTTAACTGATAAACATCTTCTCTTGGTATTACTCTTTGCCATGGGTTTTTGTAACAATTCAGTTCCTCTGAGGCTATATCTCGATTCTCGAGCTTGAAATTGTAAGCCTTGTACATCACAACAGCTGTGTAAACATCAACAAGATCGTGAAATTTCAATATATTTAATCTGATAAAAAGTGGATTTGTTGGGGCAAGATATTCAGCATAGCTAATCACTCTAATAGCTTTTTTCTGTAATAAAAAAATCGGTTGTATGATAGTTTTATAGGTATTCCCCCATATTTCCACACAATAACTAAGGTATGGAAAAATGAGGGAATTATACAATATATATAAGGCTTTTTGATTCACCGAGGTTTTTATTTTACACAGTATGGCAATAACTTTTGAAAATTTATTCTTTAATATATTAATATGCACCTTCCAATTTAACCTATCATCAATATTAATTCCCAAAAACTTTATTACATACACCCTTTCAATTTCTACCTCCCCTATTTTGAGTCGACATAGTTTGTTTGCTACCTTGTTTCCAATTACAATATATTTAGTTTTTTTTTCAGATTTAAGGAGAGTTTATTTGCTTCGAACCATTTTCTAAGACTCTCAAGTTCAGTTTCTACTGAATTCAAAAGAAGCTGAAGGTCTTTTCCCGAAGCATACAAACTAGTATCATCAGCAAATAATATACATTGCAATTTATCAAGGACTTCACAAATAAGTGAAGTGTTGAGTGTTGAGATATCTATACACATAAAACATGATATCAGTTTTAAAATCAAACGTTTTAAAAGAGAACAATTCAATTCACGGTTGTTTAAACCAATGAGCATTAAGCTGTGTCGTCAGTAAGTCGTTTCCCATCGTCCTTTTGATCAGCGCAGTCGGTGGAGAGCAACTTTCCGCCGACTGCGGTAGAATTTTTTTATTTTTTCATTTTTCTGGAATCAGTGCTAAATACATGTCTGACCGTTGGAATGAACCAAAAAACGAGAAATTACATTCATGATGATTTATGGTGAATTTATTTCTGTTAGACCTTTGTCTACATTGACGCTGATGCATTAAAGTGGTGAGGGCTCCCCTGTTTCAAGATGGGAGCTCTATTGACGCATTCGTTCTAATGAATGAACTGCCATAGGTGACAGTGTATTTATATGCCGGATCCTGCCTTGACAATTGACTATGTGCACGAGAAAAATGCTAACTTCCGCCTTGAAGGCGGATGTTGGGTACTTCGGTTCCGGTTGCCGTTGTTTACATCCTACTTCAGTGGACCGGCTATCTAAAGCTTAGCTATCTAAATATATTTGTCTAAAACTATGTTCGTTTGTTCATTGTCAAGTCAACCAACACAGTTTTCACTCATATGGTGGAGCCAGGCGCTGCTGCATTGTGAAAAGTAAACGATATTTCACATTTTGTCACCGCACCCAAGCAGTCGCTTCACAGAGTGGAGCGTTGCGTATCCATGACAACTAGAAGGAAGTTTTTAGGCTACTAATTATTTATTATATTATACCCTTTAACCAGGAGAAGCCCCTGGGTTTAGAACCTATTTTGAAAGGGAGACCTGTTTAGAAATATGTGTGAACAGCCTAATATGTGTTAAACAGCCTACCTTGATAACGAACGAACCAACGTCGGATACCTTTACTCCCTGAGTCCCTGTATGACATGTATAGTGGTTGTCAACACTGATCTATATGACGATAGTGGTTGTCAACAACATAGCCTCTGAACATCATAAACAAAATGGCCAACACAAACTGTTCTGGAAAATGCACTTTCTAACGCATGATTTCGCATTTTATAATGTATAGAGAGAACAGTTACCAAATCGCATAGCTTGAGCACGTAGCATGGCAACATTAATGTCCGAGTGATTCCACGTGTACCGCGTATGTACACGCCGTCAAATGTCCGAGCGAAACAAAACAAAATGTAGATCTACATCTGGGGAGCAATATTTATTTTTTCCTAGGATGGTAGGAGTGACGGGTAGGTTGGGGTTGAGGTAGGTCATATGCTATATATATATATACACTGTGTATGTATATATATATATATATATATATATACACAATAATAACGTTAAGTCAACGGTATTCATAAACACGCTGAAAAGAGATTATGCGTGTTGATAGCATGCCAAAATTACGTGATACGTGTCATACATACGCAATTTCATGAGATCAGTCTGAGCATGGATGTTGTTGTGACTTAACGTTCCCTTCAAAATGATGCAAATACTGAGAAATGTAATATTTAAACCCCTTCTCTCTTGCTCTGGGGAGCTGGAGGAAAATCATTAGCCAGTCGATGAACATAATCGACTGTAATATTCGGCAAATGTTCAAGACATCTGGAGAAACATACATCCTCTACGTCGTCCATCAGGCTACCGGAAACTAGACACCCCATATCGGTTTCGCAGCCGGAACTAGCATATGCTAACGTGCACATAGTCCATACTTCACACCTTGCTCCTTCTTGTCCTTATCCTTACACTCTTCATTGTCTCCCTCTCAGATTGTTCATCAATTGTTGGCATCATTCAGTGCACCTGTGCCAACATGTGAGCACCTGTCTGAACTGACTTATCTTTTACACACTGTATGGCTGATTAGACAAAATAACTATTAAATACATATACTTGAAGTGTAGCAATGAGTAATCAGAGAGTTATACAGTTTGGTATGTCTCCTTTACTATCCTTTCCATTGTGACATCAAAATTGTGTTTGCCAATTAAGAACTAAGATATGTTACACACTACATGCTATACATTGAATATATAACCTGAAACCAATAGTCATACTTTTTACAGTGAAAGGATATTGTTTTCTTTATCAAATGTAACCCCAATTACATGAGCCCACAGTACCTCAGCAAAAGCTCTGCATGTTGGTTCAGTAAGTAACACACACATCTGTTACAGACATTGCCTTTTAAATATTATATTTAAACATGTGACCTCTTGCTGAATAATATGGATATGCTTTGTATTATAATTGCTGCATAAGCTCTCCCATTAGTTGTTTGTTAAATCTTACATGTTGGGCTAAACACACTGGGATTATTTCAATGGAGCCGATGCTATTAAGGCACATGTTTGCCTGGTTTCATTTTGGTCTCTGGCTTCAGTGGAGAAAGGGGATAATCAGAAGCCTGGATTGATGCGCCATTTTCAATTCCATTGTTCTAATGGGCTAAGCGGTAACCTGAGCGGGATATCCTTGTCATTCAGTATTGAGAGGCTCTCTTCACTGAAACTTACACCTGCTCTCAGCGTCTGTACCTTTTGTGCCTACTTAGTCTGCTTTTTACATTCAAACTCCCTTGTTTTAAGGCTATCTTTCGGAGTGAACTATATTGTATTGTATGCATATCTTGTATTGGACCAAATGATAAAACTATGCTATGCCATCTCCATCCACACTGCTAGTAGAACCAGATTGTGAAACATTGCGAGTTCTTTTCACAAATGATTTGTTTTTATTTTATTACAAGTCAATTTTCTGAGAACACCATAACAGCGTAACAATCTGAAGTAAGTGAAGACGCTTTTTTTTGGATTTTACCTACCGAGGACATTAAAACATTGTTAGTACTATAACAACAATCATTCATAGTTAAAAAAAATAAAATAAAAAATCTTTCACAGCCTTTTACAATCGCTATACACCACTGCAGGCATTTGTCATATAATTGCAAAATAGTAATGCTGAAATGTGTAAGCTTAAACTTGCTTACTTAAAATGATCTGACTCAAGGAGACTATCAAGAATGATTTTACTTGGTTGTTTGAACCAATTATTTAAGGTTAGGTCTATTTAATGTAGCTCACTTTTTTCAGATACTCTATTACAAAAGTAAAAGTTAATTTTCTTTGTTTTATGCTCATGATTGGTGCCAACACAGATGACTAAACTGTAGGTCAAAGCTTAACCTTCAAATGGTCTTTGTTTCCTGTTTACACTTCTGGGCTTCAGCCTTCGGGGTCTATACGACCCCAACAATTGATTGAATAATTGTACAAAAAATATACATTTTTAATCATACAAATAGTATATCATTTTTTTTGTTTACTTCTCATCTATTCATTAATGATGTGTTTTTGGAGATATAAAGTACTTTTCTATCCATATACCACACAACTGAATACAAAATTAGTTGACTGTGTCAACTAAACCATTAGCTTGCATATGAAATATTATTTTGTATGATACATTGCATTTATGCTCTAGTACTAGGCCTTAATTTCTGTGTAAAAAATTCAGAATTATGCCGATTTTTTTTTTTTTTTGGACACATGAAGAAAATAGTTTTAGTTTTTTTTTTTCACATTTCCCATTCATTTCAATGTGGGGTCATATTGACCCAGAAGACCAAGTGTAAAAAATGTTATACCTTCAGAACAACCGAATCAATCCCAGTTTTTTTGTGTGTGTATAGATAGATAATGTATGAAAAGTCAAAAATCTTATTCCACTGAGATGAAGGGAACTTTTTTTATTAAGTAAAAGTCGATTGGGGTCGTAGACCCCATGACCCGATTGAGAGCTACTATGATAAAAGTCTCAAGTTCATGCAAAGTTACATTATCACATGTAAATATCACAGAATCCACAACATATATCTTAAATAAGCAGATTTAAAACACAGTAAACAAGATGCATTGGTTTAGTGACTTTATTTTCCCTGAACAGTTTTGTCATTGGTCATTGGTGATTTTTATTTTTGAAAAGAAATCAAGTGTAAAAAGTCAAATGAAAGATGAGGCTGTTTATAACTGAGGGCTCCAGTCATCTTTCAGGATAACACCATAGTCTGGAACTCTGTAGAGGAGGAGGAACATCCATCCATTTAGATTTAGACAATTACTTTAGTTTAATTAGACAATGATATTATGATAGACTGATTTACTGTAACAGGGAACTTCCAAACTAAATTTTTTCTGTGTCCCTAGTTTCAGCATGACCTAAAGAGGTGATATGAACACCCACTGTAAAAAAAAAATCCTGTAAAAAAAATGGTAAACTACTGGGCGCTGTGGTTGTCAGCATTAAAATGTAAAAATACGGTGTGTTACTGTTTTTGAAATTAACAGCCAAATACTGTATTGTCAGCTACAGTATAAAACTTTAATTTAACAGCTATATGCTCTAACAAAAAAACAGTAACACACCGTATAGTAACGGTATGATGCTGGCAACCGCAGCTGCCAGAAGTTTACCGTTTTTTTACAGGATTATTTTTTACAGTAAAGCTAAAACAAGAATAATATTTTACTCTGAACTCTCTTTCTCAGTCATTTGCAATGCAAATAAATAATTTGCAATGCCACTTTCAGACTTTGCATTGTCTCAGACCGTGCATGACCGCTACTCAGGCTTGAAATAATAACTGGAGGTGACCCTGATCTTTGATCCTCTTATGCAATGCAGTGCTAGATTGTTTTTCACTAAAGTTTCCATGATCTAAAACAGTTATTCAATCTTAGGACTCTTAGTAATGATCTGAGAAATGACATAATAGACATCAAGCAAATGATACAATGGAACAGAAACAGATGCAATGTAAAATACTTAGTTTTTCTTTTTGCCATCATTTATGTACATGCATAAAACAAATTCAATCAAAGAAACAATCTTATGAGAAAACATTACCGTCTACTCCAATCCGGCCGTCGCTATCATCATCTGCAGCTGTAAGGAGGCTCTTGATCTCCTTTTCTGTCAGGGTTCGTGCACCCGGGAAAAATCGTTGGAGAAAGAACCTGATGCACACAAATCCATTTAAGTGATACACAGTCTCACTGCAGCTCTGCGTTTTAGCATATATGCAGTCACATATATAACTTAACTCATCAATTAAATGATCAAATATGATCTTTTTTACCTTTTGGCTAAAATGTGAGCTAAAAATGAAAGCCTCAAAGGACTGTTCTGAATGTCATCCCTCTAGCCTCGAGTTCTAGTTCTGCGTATCATTACATAATGCAGATAAATCACATAAAGCAGGGACAGAAAAAAACATAAGGACAGCATTTCCATGGATTACATTAAAAGAACTTAGTTTAAATGGAACTGTGGTTTTAGCCTTTAAGACATGGACATTTAATGTAAAGCTTAAACGAAAGTAATTCTCTTTATGCACCGGATTTCATGCGTGAGCATTTTTTAGCATTAATAGTGCTTTCTCTGGTCACACTGAACAACATATTGCAGCAATAAAACTGTGTTTCGAGTAATATGAAATAACAACAACATCTATGTCTTTGCTTTACACCACAAGAATTCAGTACCAGCCAAAATGACATACTTGAGCTCAGCCTCCTCAATAAATCCACTGTTATCCTCATCTATGATGCCGAAGACATCCTTCACCTCTTGGGGAGTCTTCTGGCTCAGGCCACAAAGTTGGAAGAACTTTTTATAACAAAAGGAGTCTGGAGCTGTTGGCGAAGGGCATTTATGATCATCTCAACAGTTTCTTTTGTTATTGTTCTTATTATAATGATTGTTACATTATTCAGAGCATTTGGTTCATCTTTGTCATACCTTGGCAGTCTTTGACAGCATTTTCAATGGCTTCAGCCGAGAGGATGGAAGTAAGTGACATATTCAAACTGTTGGAGAGAAAGAGATAAAGAAAGTATTTGCCTATATTGTAGCCTACTCTTTATGAATGTATTACTAATTTATTTATATTTATGTAATTGTACACACTACACACACATATATAGGCTACATAGAATTTAAAGAACTCACTTAATCAAAATAAGAGCCTAAGAAACATAAAGGGCACATTTTATAACATTTTAAAATCAAATATTTTGTCAATTACTCGACAATACTTTCTGTCACTCTCATCTATTTGCTGAAATAGATCACTTTAAACTTGAAATTAGTAAAAAAAAATAAAACAAACATAAACATATGGTCAGATTCTATGTGCTATGTGATGGTAAGTGGAAAGCAGCATCTGACCTGTGAAGATTTCTCCTCGCGCTGATCCAGAGGTAAGGCTGTGCGTGGTAGCGTCTCTCATCCACTGACAACTTATATATATATGTTTATGCTAATGGGACGGACAATGAGAGATGCTTGGGTTACCTGTCCGTGTATCAAATTCGTGTTGCACTGGTCGACTTGAATTTCTTGCCTAACTAATTATCCTTTACTATTTAAATGAGCCTCAGACCGAATGCACACTTGCACTTCGCCCTAGTGCATCCTTGGAACGCTCCCGTCCCGTGTGTATGCGCGCGCGCGTGTCTCTCTGTGTGTGTGTGTGTGTGTGTGTGTGTGTGTGTGTCTGTTACTCTGATCACAGCCGTGCCTGTTGTTTTCTAATGAAAATATCTGTAAACAATTACTTAAAAATTGAAGTGTTTTTTTCCCCCCATTTTTGCTGTGAATTTTTTGCAAACATATTACGTGTCATTCTCATTGGACACAATGAATAAATACATTAATTACAAATAAAAATTGAATATGGCCTATATATATATATATATATATATATTAATATTTACTTTTGCTTAATATATTCATATGTTTTTAATATTTATACTGGACCTACATCTTTTGCTCCGCGTTAGACATTTTTTTTTGGTATACACATTTACATTCATATAAGCTAAAAAAAAAGTGTATTACTTTGCTTATGATAGGCTATATGTATAATGACATCTGTCACCCTGGTTATCATGATATTAACGATAACCTCATTAAAATGATATACAGTTACATTAATGATAAAGTAAAAACTCTCATAATGACATCCTCATTCTTTCTCAATTAAGTGTCTTTTATCATTTTGTCATTTTTAAACGTTATAGTGACATTTGGATTTGTAGCACTGTTGAGCTACTAGAACACCTTATAGTAAGTTAGGATTTTCATTAATAGATGACTTCATTGTCAACCCTGTTATCTTTTTTTTTTTTTTTTTTAAATAAAAGTATTGAACACTGGATTTTTGTATAAATGAATCAGCTTTACACTGCAAATCTGTTAAATCACACCAACATATTTTACAATTTTTACATTAAGCCTGATATGGTAATTGTGATTTTTTTTCACTTAAATACTTTTTTTTTTTTGTCTGACAGAATGTTAATTTTATTTACTTGAAAAATGAAAAAGGTCTGTTAGGAATGACCCATATGCACAGGCATTTCTTATGAACTGTTTGACCTCTGTTGTGTGAATCACCTTTGTACAGTTTCACAAGATTAAGTTAACATAATCCCATTTTTGCTACCAGTTAATTAATAACAATACAAGATACAGTATTTGATGCTGATGTTTAATTGCTGTCTCACAGTTATCACTCAGATTCTTACTCTTGATTTATTGCCCAGTTTGTTTGGCGACTTAGCTTTACATTTAATGAGATTAATTTTGTCTAAGCTTTAAATGAGTAGTCACGAGTCCAATCCACTTAGGTAGACAGTGAGACTAATCATCAACTCGTGCAACTTGACACTTTTCTTTTACTTTCTCACTAATCTGACTGACATTCGCTAGAGTAATGATTGATCTTACAGAAGTTGATGAGTCGTTTGCTGTTCAGGAAAATCAGTTAGAATTCAAATTAAAAAGCACATGTTCAGCAAAGATAGACTATTTGACAACTTACTGAATCTTAATATGTGAGAAATAATATTAGTGTCCTCCTAAAAAATCTGTTTCAAAATCACCACACTATATACATATTTTAATGTAATGCATCTGTTATAAAAAGGTTCTTGCTTTTATAGATTAAATATGTTTTATTATAATTGGGCAGATATGTATGATCTACTGGAAAGTGAGGGAAAAATGCCATTACAAAGTGACTATGGCCTGACATGGAAATGGGAAGGAAGACAAGACATTGGAGCCACCGAGCCAACAAACCAATATACTCTAATGCACTGAACTGACTGGTAGAGTTACGGTATAGATCTATCCATTTACATTCTCTAATTTGTTGGTACAGTACAGCCAACATTCCTTCTGCTGAGTCTTGTTGAGTCTGCAGTTGATGACATTAATGAAATATTACAAATAAATCAAATTGCAAATGTTAAAAAACAAATCTTAAATAAACTGCACACTTTTGCCTTAGAAACCTTTGGTGTTAAAATAAGTAAAGTAAAAAAAAGTTTATACAGTAGTTAGGCTCTGATGTGTGTAAGGCATATAAAATGTGGCACCAGACACCACCTAAAGGCGGCCACATTGTACTACTATACCTCAGTTAGGTTCACACAGAACACTTTTGAAAATCATCAAATCAATATTATATACAATTCTTATTTTTTAATGGAAAATCGCAGGATTTATTATAAATGATTTATCTGTGCACAATTTTTTTTAAATTCATGTGCCTTCATAATCTATAATCAAATTCTATTCAATTATCTGCTCACATGAGATCACAACAATAGCAATGATCTAATAATCCAATCAATTCATGATGGAAAAATCAAATCCCGCCTAACATTTCTTTGTTTGTTTGCGAAGCTGTTTTATTTCTCATCACTATGGGTAAGAAAAGCAACAGTAAATTCTGTACCCTTATGTAGTCACTACGAGTTACGTTGTGACGACGAAATGGGGTTTCGCTTAGAAAGCCTATTAACTTCCAGTATTACAAAACAAGCCAATGGCAAAAAAAAAATGCCATGGGTCTGTAGATTTTGCATAACGTAACCCAGCCCCACCTCGTAGGTATATAAAGAAGTACGCTGGCAGTTATGTTTTTGCTTTGGAGCCATGTTTTTAACTTCTGCAGCCTATTCTATGACTATCTTCGAGAGTCTGCTGAACTGTGGAGTGGTCTGCAACACCGTGTGTGTTTCTTCCTGGATGGTTCAGCACTGCTGCTCGTGTATTTCTGAGAGCGTGTATTTCTGATCACGCTCAGACAGTGTTCATGGATGCGTCTCACTGTGGAAACATGACCATCGCAATGTTATGGTCGAAACTCAATGAGCTCAATAGAGCGAGAGTCTTCTTCTTCTTCTTCTTCCGCTCATCCGGGGCCGGGTCACGGGGGCAGCAGTCTAAGCAGAGATGCCCAGACTTCCCTCTCCCTAGACACTTCCTCCAGCTCTTCTGGGGGGATACCGAGGCGTTCCCAGGCCAGCCGGGAGACATAGTCTCTCCAGCGTGTCCTAGGTCTTCCCCGGGGCCTCCGCCCAGTGGGACGTGCCCGGAACACATCCCCAGGAAGGCGTCCAGGAGGCATCCGGAACAGATGCCCGAGCCACCTCAGCTGACCCCTCTCGATGTGGAGGAGCACCGGCTCTACTCTGAGCTCCTCCCGAGTGACCGAGCTTCTCACCCTATCTCTAAGGGATCGCCCAGCCACCCTGCGGAGAAAGCTCATTTCAGCCGCCTGTATCCGGGATCTTGTCCTTTCGGTCATGACCCAAAGCTCATGACCATAGGTGAGAGTAGGAACGTAGATTGACTGGTAAATCGAGAGCTTTGCCTTACGGCTCAGCTCCTTCTTCACCACAACAGACCGGTACATCGACCGCATTACTGCTGAAGCTGCACCGATCCGTCTGTCAATCTCCCGTTCCATCCTTCCCTCACTCGTGAACAAAACCCCAAGATACTTAAACTCCTCCACTTGAGGAAGGATCTCTCCACCAACCTGAAGTGGGCAAGCCACCCTTTTCCGGCTGAGGACCATGGCCTCGGATTTGGAGGTGCTTATTTTCATGCCAGCCGCTTCACACTCGGCTGCAAACCGTCCCAGCGCATGCTGAAGGTCCTGGTATAAAGGGGCCAACACGACAACATCATCCGCGAAGAGCAGAGACGAAATCGTGTGGTCCCCAAACCTGACACCCTCCGGCCCCTGGCTGCGCCTATAAATTCTGTCCATAAAAATTATGAACAGAACCGGCGACAAAGGGCAGCCCTGCCGGAGTCCAACATGCACCGGGAAGAAGTCTGACTTACTACCGGCAATGCGAACCAAGCTCCTGCTTCGGTCATACAGGGACCGGACAGCCCTTAGCAAAGGACCCCGGACCCCATATTCCCGGAGCACCCTCCACAGGCCGCCTCGGGGGACACAGTCGAATGCCTTTTCCAAATCCACAAAACACATGTGGACTGGTTGGGCAAACTCCCATGAACCCTCCAACACCCTGTAGAGAGTATAGAGCTGGTCCAGTGTTCCACGGCCAGGACGAAAACCGCACTGTTCCTCCTGAATCCGAGGTTCCACTATCGGCCGTATTCTCCTCTCCAGTACCCTGGCATAGACTTTCCCAGGGAGGCTGAGAAGTGTGATCCCCCTATAGTTGGAACACACCCTCCGGTCCCCCTTCTTAAAAAGAGGAACCACCACCCCGGTCTGCCATCCCAGAGGCACTGTCCCCGACCGCCACGCAATGCTGCAGAGGCGTGTCAACCAAGACAGCCCCACAGCATCCAGAGACTTGAGGTATTCGGGGCGGATCTCATCCACCCCCGGTGCCTTGCCACAGAGGAGTTTCTTGACTACCTCTGTGACCTCAGCTAGGGTGATGTACGAGTCCACCCCTGAGCCCTCAGTCTCTGCTTCCTCAATGGAAGACGTGACGGCGGGATTGAGGAGGTCCTCGAAGTATTCCTTCCACCGTCCGACGACATACCTAGTCGAGGTCAACAGCCGCCCACCCCTACTGTAAACAGCATTGGTAGGGGACTGTTTCCCCCTCCTGAGGCGCCGGACAGTTTGCCCGAATCTCTTCGAGGCCAGCCGATAGTCCTTCTCCATGGCCTCTCCGAACTCCACGACCTTTTTGCCTCCACGACCACCCGGGCCGCAGTCCGCTTGGCCTGCCGGTACCTGTCAGCTGCCTCCGGAGTCCCACGAGCCAACCAGGCCCGATAGGACTCCTTCTTCAGCTTGACGGCATTCTTTACTTCCGGTGTCCACCACCGGGTTCGAGGATTGCCGCCTCGACAGGCACCGGAGACCTTACGGCCACAGCTCCGAGTAGCCGCTTCGAGCGAGAGTCTCCTCACCCATACCTTGATCTATTCTCTCCATGCGAGAGAATACTTTGGCTGGTGGCCAGGGTGACCTGAGGCAGCTGGTGTCGAACAAAACCTACGAAATATCCTTGGTCCACACACCCATCTTTCACCCTGTGTGGTTCTGGTTGATTTTAATGACCAAACCAGAGCCAGAATCTCATTCGGTTCCCCTACTGATGAAATCATGTCTATCGCCGTATCACAAGGTGAGCTGGAGTCCTCTGGAGATGATGGTTCATCTGTGTTGCCACCTTTGGGTGTGCTAGCAGAATGAGTCTGATCCAGAGTTGACAGCTATGCTTTTTCCGGGCTTGTGTGGAACCTTCCACCATGTTCCGAGCACACAATGTTGATGATTGGTTTTTGGGGAAGGCGAACCCAATACCTTTCTACACAGACGTGCATAAAGTTGTCATGAGATCGTGGGAGTCTCCTTTGACTTTTGACTCAGCGACCTCTTCAGCCTTCTCTGCCCTCGCAGAGGCCGAGGCCAAAGGTACACTGGGGTTCCCCCCGTGGAGTGTTATATGGCAACACATCTGTGTCCCCACAGTGCCTCCACCCTGAAAGTGTATGTTGCCGTCATCGCCGCACATCACAATGCAGTCGAGGGTAAGTCCGCATAAGAGCCTCTGACCAGCTCTTTGTCTGTTATGGTGGGAAGGTGAAGGGAAAGAATCTCTCCAAGCAGAGGTTGTCTCACTGGTTAGTGGACACCATTGCTTCGCATACCAGCAGCAAGGTCGACCGTGCCCCCTTTGTGTGAAGAACAACTCCTCTCGGAGAGTGGCTTTCTCTTGGGCTTCTTATGGCGTCTCGCTAATGCCTGGCTCACACTACAGGAGTTTTAGGCCGATTTATGCCCGATTTTCCCCTCACGAGAATGCTGATATTTTACCATTTGGCATTGCTCGTCTCTGCGTGTTATAGACCTTATTCAGAGCAGCGGCATGACAGGTATGAAAGTGAGGCTGTGAGGGATAGACTTACCGTGTTTCCAATGGCATCCGCTGTAAAAAGCTGAATAAAGCGGCTAGATTACTTACAATTTTCCACAGCTTACATTGTCGGGAGTTTTTTGTCAACTGATCTTTCTTAGAAAGATATTTTTCCAGTGTTTCATGAGCAGAACAATCTGCGATAACACATTAAATAACAGTACAGCCCATTGAAGAGATGCATGACTATCCCTCACAGCCTCCCTTTCGTTCTCATTAAAAATCAAAGATGGCGCTGCCGTGAAGGCGTATAGACAGGCTGTCGCTCAGTCCAGTTACATTTTTACGCCACTAGGTGGCGACAAGGGACTGTCTTTGAGTGAGTCATTAAACTGTTCATTCAACAGAAATGTAAAAAATGTAAATCATTCAAATATAGATGTAATGAAACAAGCTGTTATTTATTTTAAAACTATTTTTAACTTTGAGCTCCACTTTACAAGGCTCAGCGGCATGGGCAACACGAAACTGATGCTTCACTTCATTGAGATCAATAGCATTTTTTCATAGTACTGAATGAGCTAACGCCATTCATTAGAAATAGCCTAACCTTAAATATTAAAAGGATGATTAAAACTCTTTCTTTGGTCACGGCAACCTTTTCACGAATATGACTTGATATGAGGGAGAGCTATTTTGTTTACATCCGCTTTTCTGCTTCCGATCTGCTGCGTGAGATCATGTGAGCCGGTTCCACTGGCAAAATAATCTTAATAACATTGTGTAGTGTGTGATGCAGAGCGATTTTCAAATCGTGTAGTGTGAGCATGCTTAAGATTTGAGGGAAGAAAATCTGCAAAGATTCTCTTTAAGTGTGAGCTGCAACCAGATTTCAAAATCGGTTAGGATTTTAAAACTCCTGTAGTGTGAGCCAGGCTTAACAGACATCTGCAGAGCTGCAGGCTGGGCGACACCCAACACATTCGCTAGATTCTGCTATCTCCGAGTGGAGCCAGTGTCCTCTCATAGGTGTCTCTTAGGTGTCTTCGCTTGCTCGCCATTCCACTCCACGGACTGGATACGTGCAATATTTTCCTCAAGTGAGCTTTACCTACAAGCCCCGAGTTCCTCCAGCACTGTTGACGTCAAACGCCAAAGTTATGTCACCGACAGCTTTCGCGTTGGCCAGGTGCTGCCATGTGCATGGTTCCCCCCCTGGGCGACCACCACATGTGTATTTCCACTGTAAGCCTCCCTGAGCATGTGTCTTTCCCTTGGCATGCCACCTTGCCACCCTTGGGGTTGAAACATTCTATCCTGTGGGGTGGACACCCGTGTTTTCCATGTTCAGCCCCCTCCCAGGTCATAAGTGTATTCTCTAATTAACCCCCCTTTGGGCAGGCACTAATTGCATATTTCCACTGAGATATGCTTCCCAGTGTACCTTGGTCTTCTTGTGTTAAGTATGAGTCCTTTGTCCGTGTTGTCTCACGACAGGGAGCTCAGACTTACGCAGGGAACTGGAAGACAACCGAGTGGTGTGAGTAGACTGGGAACCCCATTTCGTCATCATGACGTAACTCATAGTGACTATGAAAGGAAACGTTTCCGTTACGGATGTAACCCTCGTTCCCTGAATAGGGAACAGAGACGTTACGTCTCCCTGCTACTTTCGCTGTACCAGTTCAGTCTCGGCTTGTCAGCAAATAACATAACTGGATGTTGCCAGCGTACTTCCTTACATAGTTACGTTATGCAAAATTCGCAGACCCATGGCATTTCATTGTCAATAGTTCGTTTTGTAATACTTAAAGTTGATTCTAAGCGAAAATCAAACCATTGCGTCATCACAACGTAAAGTCTCCATTCCCTACTCAGGGATCGAGGGTTACATCCATAACCGAGACTTTTCATGCCATCTTTAAAATATGCTACACATTATTAATTCTTTACGTTCAATAGTTTTTACAAATTCATCCTTTTGTCTGTGATCCCCACAAAGCCATTGCAGATGTGCACTTCTTGTAATAGCTAAGCTAAGCTAAGCTACAATGGCCGTGAATAGAGCACTGCAATGATAACCCAGAAGACCAATTCGCCACAGGTTCCTTCAAGATTTTCCTGTTTTTTTTATAATAGTGTTTTTCAATTTATGAGTGAAATAAAGTCTGTGGTGAACACAACTTGACGATACTTGAACGTTTTGCTCTACAATATAAATTACACACCCATATCAAAATGTGTGTTATGTTTATTTATTAATTTTTCAATGAATGTTTTTAAAAAGTAGATAAGAACGTTTGGAGTGCGAGTGTGTATAGTTCACGTTGTAGAGAAAAATGTTCAAATGTCCTCAAGTTATGGGTTGTGTAAACACATAGGAAGATCTTGAGGGAACTAGTGGAAAATTAGTCTTTTTATGTCATTGTTACTGCATTCTGTTATAATATATTCACACAATAAAAAGACAAAACTCAAAATTGAAAAATAGTATTTATTTTCTCATTGTCCTTTCCCAATTTGAACCTTTTTCCCAAAAGATTTTACAGGAACCAACAGGAACAACATATCTATCATGCGAAAGACCTTGTGGCGTTGACAGCCAGTTGACAGAGTGCAGCATGGTAGTGGACAGACAGAATTGTGTATAAAAATCAGCCACCAAGATAAAAAAAGTGGCGATCTCAGGCAATCTCTGGTTGTCAGCAAGATGTTCGTCAGGTGCCATTTATGCTTTGACCAAGGCGGCAAACTCTGCAAAATTAAGCAGAAACAATTAATCAGAAGACAATGTTGAGGGGCTGGTATTATATTTTAGCAATTATGTTTTTATATATTCAACAAGGAGTAAATTCCTCACCATCAACTCCAATCATGCCATCACCATCAGCGTCTCCAGCTTTCAAGAAGGCCTTTGTCTCTGCATCAGTGAGCGCCCTGGCGCCAGCAGAGAAGTTCTGCAGGAACAGTCTGAAGAGCACAAACAAACAATCAACCTCAAGTTTGTTCCAGGGTTTGAGCCAGTAGACACCAGGTCAGTTTATTATGAAAACGTGATTTAAGACTGGACTTACTTAAGCTCCTCCTCCTCAATGAAGCCGCTCTTGTCCTGGTCAATGATGAAGAAGGCCTTCTTGATGTCCTCAGGTGTCTTTGCGGCCAGGCCGACCTTGGCGAAGAAGGTCTTGTAGTTGAAGGAGTCAGCAGCTGGAAGGCAATTTAATCAGGTTTCTTAGCATGATGGTGGAGAAAAATGGCCTACATGCAGGACTTAGAATAACATTTGATTTATGGGGCTTAAAAAACATGGCAAGCTCCAACAAATGATATCTACAACTTGAAATGAAAATTCTGTCATCATTTACACACCCTCTCATGTGACAGTCTCAATTTTTGTCCATTCATGAAAATGAATAGTGACTGAGACTTTCAGTCCCTAACATTCTACCATTTGTTCCACGCAAAAAAGAAAGTCAAGTGGGTTTGGGACGACATAAAAATTGATTTTCTTGGTTTAGGTTGTGGGTCAATAGGACAAAACATGCAGGTTACCTTGACAGGCCTGCAGGGCTGCAGCGACGTCAGCATCAGACAGAATACCAGCGAATGCCATGATTAGCCTAAAAAAATGGCAGAGGGTTTAATTTTACTTTGATATATTGATTAGAATTTGTATATGTATAATTTTAGCCTTGTAATAAGCCTATTCCAGACACCCAGGTCATCAGAAACTATTTGCTTCCATATAGGGATGCATCGATATGAAAATTTTGACCGATAATTCTTTACTTTTGAAAGCTAATAACCGGTACATTGGCTAATAAATCTAAATTCAATTTTTGTATAAACTCTGAGAGCCTGATTACAAAAACAAAAAGCTTAGCATTAAAAGCCATGTCCCAAAAACTTCAACATAAATCATACATATTCAGTTTGAAATTGTGTAAAATTCCTTAAATTTTAAAATTAATTTTACAATCCTATGGCCAACTTTCTCTAAAAATGGTAACACTTTATAATAAGGTTTCATTTAGTTAGTGTGAACCAAAAATGAATAATCAATACTTCTACAGCATTTATTAATCTTAGTAATGTAAGACATTTTCAAGATCCATAGTTGTGTACATTAGTTAATGCACTGTGAACTAAAATGAACAGCAATATTTTATTAACTAACATTAACAATGGTTATTGCTCTCTGTTAATTCATGTTAGTTAATGCATTAACAAATGAGACCCTATTGTAAAGTGTTACCAAAAAAATTATTTCCTAACAAAAAAGTAAAATGAAAATAAAATAATTTACTTCAATAATGCAAAGAAGTCATTGGATAACATTGGGCTGCAATGCATATGGAAAAAAAAATGCATGTGCCATGGATAAATGAATTAAAATAGCCTTAGAATGGCGATTAACTATAAATCTCACCCATCAACCCGATTAATAAAGAGAAATAGCCTAAACAAGTCCAAACTCCAAGACACAAATTATTCCCACTCCAGGTGTCCGAGTCAAACCATCCTTTCCGGATCAGCCCAAAGTCGTTATTGCTCTTCGCATGTGTTCAGTTGAGAAGGCGCCACTCACTCACCTCAGTTGTCTTTAGGGTCTGGATTCACAATGAAACTGGGTCCTGCAGTGAGCACCAACTCAATGGCTTCCACCTTATATACTACTACTCAACCGAAATAGGAGAAAAGGCGTAATGGATACCGCATGGGAGGCAGTTGGTTGAAAAAATGTGTCCAGTAGTCAGGGTGTTCTATTTATATACTCTTAAATGAAGATGCTTGAAATGTAGGCTACGTAGGCTATAAGTCCTTAATGTCGCGGCGGCTAAATACGATGCCAACATTTAACATACAAGGACGAAAGCCCTCTGTAGTAGTCTAGAGCCTCTGTTGTAGGTGAGAGTTAAAGTCATTTTGCCTGAGAGAAACCAAGTTCGCTGTAGGCTACACTACAGTCGTGTAACTAACTGTTAAGTAATTCTCACAACTTTGGAGTCAAGAGGAAGCGCATTAATCACAAATGCACCATAGTACTGGCGGATGAGGCGGCCATCATAGTATTTTCAGTAGATGCTTTGGAAGTGTAAGGTAAATGCAATCTCACAGATCATCGTTAAGCTTGTAACGTACAGGGTAGCCAGTGATTTCAGCATTCGGTTCGCTTCTTTCTTTTGCGTCTAACCGTGGATGCTTCTATGATTATGAACTATTGACAGCGTCACGTTTGATTGTAAAGTTATAAAATAGACAGCTTGACTGAATCAGGCCTATGATAAAAATGTAACTAGAAATTGCACGTTGTTTAGAGAGAGACTGGTAATTGATGTTTAGGCTGGCTATTTGATTTTATTTAGACATTATTAGTTTACTGAAAATTAAAGTTATTTGCAAAAAACATTTGATTGACAATAAAGATGATTATGTCATTTTTTGCTGTTGTGTGTGGTAATTACATGTTTCAGTTTTTGTTGAAAACGTCCATAAGCCACATGCCAAGCTGGATCCTAAATCCTAAAATCAGCTAAAGGTTCAATTTCACTTGATTTTATTTATTTCTAATGAAATAGCCACAAGTGCAGAACCACTACTCATACAAAACACTTTATTTGACATCAAAATTTTTTAAATCAATTCTGCTAAAATAAATTGAGTGTGTTAAAATGTATTTTACGTTGTGCCTGCTGCCTGTTGCAGCAAGCTAGATTGACATTAGTATATCATATAAATAAATGCTGGATGAGTTGCTAAATGGCATGCAATTCATTTTAAAATATAGGCTTATTGCATGGAAGAGCAAATGCTGTATTGCTTTTACTACAAATACATCTCTTTGTGATTAGCCACTTAAATTGCTTATTACTCTGAACTTAAAGTTTGTTTGAAACATGTGGGATAAGTCAAAAATACATATCATTGTTCTAGTGTATTTTAATCCAAAAATCTTACATGTTGTGGCATTAAAAGAGTGCTGTAACTTATGTATTAAAGCACAAATCATAAAATGTTTGTATATTTAGGAAACATTCTTCACATACTTGTTTCTCTGAAAAACACTTCTAAAGTTATTCTACTTTGAAATATGACCCTGGACCACAAAACAAGTCATAAGGTTTTTTTTTTTTTTAAATCGAGATGTATACATAATCTGAAAGCTGAATAAATAACCCTTCCATTAATGTATGGTTTGTTAGGACCATATTTGGCTGAGGTATGGGTACCGTGTGGCCATTTAAAAATCTGGAATCTGAGGGTGCAAAAAAAATCGAAACATCGGGAAAATGGCATTAAAGTTGTCCATTTATGTGCGCGATTTTGCTGCATTCACTCACAAAAATAATTGTTTTATATAATTATGGTAGGAAATGCACAAAATATCTTCACGTAACATGATTTTTTAATTAATTTCCTAATCATTTTTGGCATAAAAGAAAAATCAATCATTTTGAGCCATACAATGGTGTTGTATTGCCACAAATCAAAACCCTTACGACTTATGACTGGTTTTGTGGTCCATGGTCACATTCCGTGTCGGAATGTCCGTTTTTGCTTCGGTCTGTGTGATCCCGCCCGCTTCCAATTTACCCAACAGTGTTTCACCTCCCTGGGTTGACAGCTGCCGGAAAACACAGCTTATTGCTGTTTTCTCAAACTGGCAACTTGTCTGTCGAGTCTGATGAGCAGGGTGTGGGAGAAACAACCCTCTCCATTATTTAGAATTTGGACTGCAATAGGCCATTTCAATGGGCAATTTTAACGGCTAGCTGTCAATATTACATATAGGTACTGTAACTTTAAAGACTAAGATTTTTTTCTGATTCAGAAAAGAAGTTTGCATATGATGTAGGTAGATTTGAGGTGGGGTGGTGATGGCGCAGTGGACAAGACACATGCCTTTGGTGTGAGAGACCCGGGGTCCAAACAACTGCGAGACACCAATGTGTCCCTGAGCAAGACACATAACCCCTAGTCGCTCCAGAGGCGTGCGACCTCTGACATATATAGCAGTTGTAAGCCGCTTTGGATGCATTTATGCATTTAGCGTCAGCTAAATAAATAAATGAAGAGTTCAGATGCAAAAGCCTCTAAATGCCATTTGAAATTTTCTTCGTTAATGATGATTTTTATCAAACTTGTATATTTAAGTTCAGTAATTTCACTTAAATAACAATTAATAGGTAATTATCATTGCTATTTAAGTGAAATTACTGAACTTAAATATACAAGTTTGATAAAAATCATCATTAAAGAAGAAAATTTAAAATGGCTTTTGCATCTGAACTCTTTAAATGTAAATGTAAATATAGAGGAGAAACTGTAACTTTCTTTTTTTTTCTTTGGCAAAGAATTATTATAATTAGTATAGTATAACAATTATACGGAACTGTGGTGTTAAAAGTACACTCAAAAAGAAAAAAAATGAGATTCTCATTTGCTTCAGTCATGTTGTGTCGTGTGTGATTTGCCTTTGGGATCTGAGTATAAGGTGACACTCTCACTCAGTGGCTGAGAGCTGTAAGTGATGCCTGTGCAAGGCTCATTAGCTCATTTCCTGAATGTGTTAGACAGGGGTCACTCTAAGCCATTCCCTGTTCACATTCAAAAGCTGCTTATTCCTCTGTCATTTCAACTAATTGCCTTTACAAATTCACACTGCTTTCTAAAATGCTAATGCCTGTGCTTCGAAGCTCTTCTACATGTGAAGACTTCAGATGCAAATGTGCCATCTGAAGTTTTCTTCTTGAATGATCATTTTTATGAAGCTTTTATGTTTATGTTCAGTTATTTCACTTGAATGACAATGAAAATTAGTCCTTAAAGTGAAATTACTTAACTTAAATATGATAAAAATGCTCATTTTAGATGAAAAATTTTAGGTGGCAGTTAGGGTTAGCATCTGAAGTCTTCAATCGGTCATGCTAATGCATCACTGTCCATAGACACTCTTATGTTTTAGAAAAAGTTTTAGGATTTATTCCCACCTGTGAAATGCAGAGAAAGATATTGAGCCAAGAATGTTGTTTTAAATCAAATGTATTTTTATTTCCTTAAAGTGCAAAAGAGGTTGTAAGTTTGCACACAGTAGTTTTTTACAGAACAATACAATGCAATGAAACAACATTAATAATAAATAGCTTTTCAAGACATTGAGCGTGCGTTCTTTGCAAGGAGTTTGCAGGGCGTTCATAAATAAATATAAAAAAGATGATAGATAAACAGAGCTCTGGTTCCAAAGATGGGTCAATGAATGCTTAGGCCTTTACAAGCAACGCAAACTCTGTGGAAAGAAAATGATAAAAAAAAAGCAGTTACAGTCTGAAACTGATCATTTTAACATCTCAGTCATATCAGCTAAAAGTTTTGAGGTACAATCTTCTAACTTGACCAATATCATCTAAAATGTATATGTGAAGAGTTCAGATGCAAAAGCCTCTAAATGCCATTTGAAATTTTCTTCTTTAATGATGATTTTTTATCAAACTTGTATATTTAAGTTCAGTAATTTCACTTAAATAACAATTAATAGGTAATTATCATTGCCATTTTAGTGAAATTAGTAAACTTAAATATACAAGTTTGATAAAAATCATCATTAAAGAAGAAAATTTCAAATGGCATTTAGAGGCTTTTGCATCTGAACTCTTCATGTGATTATTACTGTCTACTATTGGTTTATCTAGTTGGTTAGCCACATGTACTGTAGCAGGCTTGCTTTAAATATAAAACTAGCAACAAAGAGCTAAAAATGTATGTTGGAAAAAGCTTTTTTTAAGCTTGATTGGATCACCAGAATTCATAGGTTTAATCATCTATTGTCGTATAATGCTTTGACACCTCAGTACTGTAAAACTTGAAGTAACCTAGGCTTACCATCAACTCCAATCATGCCATCACCATCAGCGTCTCCAGCTTTCAGGAAGGCCTTTGTCTCTGCATCACTGAGCGCCCTGGCGCCAGCAGAGAAGTTCTGCAGGAACAGTCTGAAGAGCACAAACAAACAATCAACCTCAAGCTTGTTCCAGGGTTTGGCCCAGAAGAAACCAGGTCAGTTCATTATGAAAACATGATTTAAGACTGGAATTACTTAAGCTCATCCTCCTCAATGAAGCCACTCTTGTCCTGGTCAATGATGAAGAATGCCTTCTTGATGTCCTCAGGAGTCTTTGCGGTCAGGCCGACCTTGGCGAAGAAGCTCTTGTAGTTGAAGGAGTCAGCAGCTTGGATTACATATAAAAATACATTAAAAATGACCTAACTTATCAACAGTCTATTGTATTTCTGTGGAGAGTTGTGTCTTACCAGCGCACTCCTTAAGGGCTGCAGCCACATCATCGTCCTTGAGAATACCAGCAAATGCCATTTTGATTTTTCTGGAAATGAGACCCACATAAGATGATGGTTCATTAAAATGCAAGGTTTTACAATGAAGTGCAACATTTAGCCCCTTTATTCCTAAAAACAACAACCACAAAGCCACCAAAACAAATGAACCTTCAATTCTGCCTTTACAGTTAAACCATACAGTCAAAATACGATCTCTGTTAGATCATGCGAGAATGCCAGCCTAAGAAAAAAATCCAAAATCTCAGAAAGTATAGCAGGTCCTTGGTTTGGTTAAGTGAAGAGATTGGTGTATTATCAAGTTTTCAGTCCTGCTGCAAGTCCGTTTACATCCTCATCTTTGTTCCTCCATTTTTCGTTGTCATATTCCATGGTGATTAGAGCAATTCAATGAGCCCTGGTGTATGGTCCTCATGGGCTATCATCCAGTAAACTCACCTTAGCGCTGAGCTGACAACTGTTCCAAAGATGTTCGACGACTGGCCAAAGCACCCATGGGGCTGGCTTTTATATGTTTGTATCTAGGTTGTAACAGACACCAATTGCTTCTGTTGGGTAAAGTTGCGAAAAAAATGTGTCCACTAGCCATTATAGCTCTATTTTTATCCTTTCAAAGAGGAATGGTCTGATTCCTTATGAGAGGCATAGAAGGAACATCCTAACACACATCAGTGTTTGCTTGAACCTTTGCGCAATGCCATTTAGTGCAGTAATTGTCATATTTAAAAAAAAATTGAAAGAGTCACATACGTTCATGCTGGATAAAATGAAATTATTTTCAGTACAGCTCAGTACAGAATTCTTTATTATTTATTATTTAAGTGTTTTTCTCATTTGGTACATTTTGTTATATTTATCACTTTGCAGGGAAATGTGTAAGGGTTGTGAACTTGTGACCCATTTCTCTCTTTATATTTATATTCTACATGCAAGATGATGCTTTACAGTTTCTGGGACGGCTGGGGGCTTGAACAGGAGCAAACGTTTCAGAGTGTCCGATTACCTGAAAGTATGAAATGGCACAGATTACCTTAAGGAATATGAGTATTCAACACTGATAACCATGCACAAAAAAATGATGCAAAACAAAACAAACTTGCTACTCGAGTGATCACAAATATTGTACTTTACATGTCATTGTGATTTTTTATCTTGTTCACTCTAGCTGCAATACTATTTCAGTTTTCATGATACAAACATATTCTGATTGAAGAAGAAGTTACTAAATGTTTGTCACTAGCTTGCAAAATCACTTTGGATTAATTCTCTTTAGGCTATACATATAATCAAGATAACTTATTTACAACATATACACAATAAAAATGCAAGAGATTAGTTAAACATGTTTATTTTGTATTACATTTTCTTTTAGAAATTCCAAGCTAATAACATTACAGTAAAGCATACAAGACAAAGCGCAATCCTGCACAATTCAATTTGAAAACTTCTATACTGACAAGATCAAAACACGTTTGTCATCACATGTCTCAGGCCACGTTTACACAAAGACGGGTATTTAGCAAAACGAATATTTTCCCCCTCTCCGTTTTAAAAAAAAACATTGTTTACACACCCGCATAAATACGCTGTCGAGTGCCATCATAACCATGCCAAACCTATTGGCGGCAGTGTAGGGGTTTCTCTCAGTTCACACGACAACACATAACCGGCGTTTTCAGAAATCTCCACTTTGGCCGGAGTTTTTAGAAATAATCGTTTTCAGTGATAAAAACTGAGTTTTCGTGTAAATGAGAGGGCAAAACGCAGAGAAATATCAGCGTTTTCCCATCGTGTAAACGGGGCCTCAGAAAGCATTAACCAGGGTTGAAAATTCTACAGGATATGAGATGCAGATTAATCACTCACATTTAGCCTACACATTACACGTCATTAATGTAACTGAGGATATCCCAGTCTTCCCAGATGATCTTCCCATCCCCATTCATGTCTCCAGGGTTGAGGAAGGCCTTGGTTTCAGTTGTTGCAAGTGCAGAAGCACCTTTTGAGAAGTTAGAAACAAACTGGAAAATGAGTCACAGGCAGGATGGTAAATTTTGTAAGTTTTATTGTGCAGATGGATCGCAGTGGGAGATAACAGGTGAGGAACAAATGTCTTAGAAACTTGAGGCTTGTCTCCTTGGGGTGTTGGTGACCAGTTGGCCACCAGTACCGAGGCTTGAGGCTTGTCTCCTTGGGGTGTTGGTGACCAGTTGGACCAGTTGACTGAGGAGCGAAAGGGTATGCTTGCTATGCTTGCTATGCTTGCTTCCGGAGCGGGTTGGAGTGTAAGTTCCTGGGTAATCTGTTGGTCTATCTCCCAGACGATGGGACTGAGGATCACGGCTGGAGGGAGGATTGGCTCAGAACGGACATCTTCAATGGAAGGATGATGGAGTCGTGACAATGCATCAGCCTTGCAATTCTTGCTTCCGAGAAGATATGTTACCACAAAGTTGAAGCTTGTGAAAAACAGAGCCCAGTGGGCTTGTCTGGGGTTCAATCTTTTTGCCTCCCTTAGGTATACCAAGTTTCGATGATCAGTTATCACAGAGAATTGATGGTTAGCTCCCTCCAGCCAATGCCTCCACTCTTTGAGGGCCAGTTTAATGGCCAACAGTTCCCGGTTACAGATGTCATAATTCCGCTCCGCCCGGGACAGAGAAGAAGGCACATGGATGGAGTTTAGGTGGCTCACCCTGCCGCTGAGACAATACTGCTCCTTCTCCAGTGGAAGAGGCATCCACTTCCATGACAAACGGAAGGTCCGTGTTGGGATGGAATGATGGAATGATGGAGAATGGGAGCAGTGGTGAAGGTCTCTTTCAAACGCCGGACAGTGTCGGAGGACAAGGACAGAGACTAGGGCGGCCCTTAAGAGTCTCGATAGAAGTTTGCGAAACCAAGAAAGTGTTGAAGTTCCTTTACTGAGTTGGGTTGTGGCCAGTTCCGGATGGTCTCCACCTTCCTCTGGTCCATTTGAACATCACGTTGATTGATCACATACCCCAGGAAGTGAACGGTAGAGGCGTGGAACTTGCATTTCTCCAATTTCAGATATAGCTTGTGCTCCCTCAGTTTTTCGAGAACCTGAATGACGTGCTGATGATGTTCAGATATGGACGATGAATAAATGAGTATATCTTCTATGTAAACTATCACAAAACGATTGAGGAATTCTCAGAGGACTTTGTTCATATATCCCTGAAAGACAGCAGGAGCGTTGGACAATCCGAAAGGCATAACCTGATACTCATAGTGGCCTGTAGGGGTCACGAAGGCAGTCTTCCACGCCGGATTTGGATCAGGTTAAAGGCACTTCTCAGATCCAGTTCAGAGAATATGCGTGGCCACAAAAAAGAAACTCGAAGCGGCAAGGGGAGGTAGATGATCTGATGAATTGCTGGTTTAAAGCTTCTTCCACATACTCCTCCATGGGCTTCTGTTCGGGGATGGACAGAGGGTAGATATGACCTTTGCGAAGGGCCGGTGTGGTAGTAACTTGATTGCCAGTTGCTTGCTGAAAACCTCCTGGAACGCCCGGTACTCCACTGGGACCTGGACCTCAGGGCTTTCCACCGAAGTAGAGCAAACTGGGAGCAAACTTCAAGTAGAGCAAACTTCACCAGTTCCCCTGTGGAGTACTGGCTGATGTTGAATTAACCACGGGCGTCCCAGGATGATATCCGCGGTCGACTCCTCCAGTACCATAAGGGAGATCTCCTCTGAGAGTAAACACCCAATTCGAAGAAGGAGAGTGGGTGTGTAGTGGCGAATACAACCTCTTCCCAGTGGTTTGCCTTAAATGGTGTGAACAGGTAGATCTTGGTACAATCGCCGTTGCCAGATATTCAGCTTTTGAAGGAGTTGACTGGATATGAAGTTCCCCGCAGAACCAGAGTCGACGAGGACTTGTGCTGGGAGACAAACACAGGAGGTTATAATATGCACACTGGTTTGTGTTAACTGCTCAACCCTCAGAGTGAGCTGAATGGCACTTACCGCTTGCCACGGTGGATGAACAGGGCAGGAACTGAGGAGGTGTTTGTCAGATGCACAGTCAAGACAGAGGAAATGTTGACGATTAATTTCCTTGACGAAGATTGAATAGCTGGTCGTGAATGGACAGCTCGGACACTGCTTGCTCAAATACTTCTCTGAAGTGCTGTTTAAAGGCAGCGAAGGACTTTACCACAGGTGAATTGGAATCCCACAATGACAGAGCCCATCGAAGCGCTGGACCGGACAACAATGAAACCAAGAAGGCCACACGGGCTTCGTCAGTGCGAAATTGATGCTCATTCATGGTGATGTATAATGATACTTGCAACAGAAACCCACTGCAGTCCTCCGCCTCACCAGAAAATGTTGCTGGCCGGGCCATGGGACTCGCAGAGGCAGTGAACGAAGCAGTGGGTGTTAGCGGGAGTGGAAGTGGTGGTGAGAGGATCGCTACATCGTCCGGTGGATTGTTTGGTAAGAGATCCTCTTCAGGCTCCGGCTGGTTCTGCATCTTTGTTCTGGTCTTCTGTCAGAGTTCACAGAGGAAACAGATGGGATAGTAAGTTTTTTTAAGTTTTATTGTGCAGATGGATCGCAGTTGGAGATGAGGAACAAACATAAACATAAACTACAAATGTAGAAACATAGCTGGTGATTAATGTCCTTTTCTCTGTTGTAGGTGAGTTGGCGGTGGTTCGGGGAAGATGGCTCGGTCTTTGAAAAACGGGAAGCAGGTAAGTAGCAGGTAGGTAGTCACTGCAGTGAGAGTGAGTGCTTTATGTGGGTGATGGGACACAGGTGATGGTTATTAGTACTCAGGGGACTGTAAAATGCACATCAACCGATCACTTTTTTAGCGTTTATGTAAACACTACATTCAGATTCACCAATCAGAATGAATTCAGTTAGATTGAAACAAAAGCTGTACATGTAAATGGCGACTGCAGAAAGCAAAAGCTAAACCCCGGACATCGACGGCCAGACATGTCCGGGAAAAAGAGGACGGTAACCCCCAAAGTTACTACTTGGCTTTCTCCACAGATTAAGAGCCTGCTAGCTTAGCTTCCAAAAAAAGATGGCTGACACTATGTGTAATCCCAATCCTCCATAATGCATCCATCTGTGTTTTCAGTACCTTCGTCCATATTTTCAAAAAGTTTCTGCCGGTGAAATCAAACGCACTGGCAGTGATCTGTGATAGGTCTGTTAGCGCATTAGGTCCAACCCCCTATGGGCGGGTTTTAAAGGGAGGGTACTAGTGCTTGTAGTCTTTACAGAAATCCCCAATCTTACACTTCCTCCTACAATGACATAAAAAATGACGATTTTTGCATCATTGTAGGAGGAAGTGAAAATGGTAAATAACAGATTTCTCTCGTCTCAGGGGAGAATAAGAGAGTGTTACATGACCATTCAATAGTATAATTGGCTTTCTAACAATGGAAAGCTGGTAATGCAAATGGGTGGAGTGTCCCTTTAAATCAATATTTAATGACCATGTAATACTTCTAATAAGCTGAACAACTAATTATTTTACTTAAC